CATTTCTTTATCCATTCTTCTATCAGTAGATTTTTGGGTTGCTTCTGCCTCTTAGCTACTGTGAACAAGGATGTATAAGAATTTGCTACTTTTTTGTTGAATAATGTTATATTTCAGAACAGTTTTACTTTTGGAGCAAAATCTAGAAGAAAGTACATAGAGTTCCTATATGCTCCTGTCCCCATAGGACACAGCCTCACTCTCTACTCAAATTTTGCACCATAGTAGTGTACATATCACAATTTGTGATCCTTCATTGATGACATCATTATCCAGCCTATAATTTAATTCAGATGCACACTTGGCATCAATTATTTACATTTTCATGAATGTATAACGTATAAAGGATATGTGCCTACTATTGGGAGTATTAAATTGAATATTTTCACTGCCTTAAAAATACTCTGTACCCTACATAGTTATATCTCCTCCTCTAGTGTATCTTTCATTTATCATCAGTTTGTAATTTTCCTTAGACAAGTCCTATATGTACTTTGTTAGATGTATTCTTGAGTTTTTGAGGTTTTTTTTAAGCTACAAAAATGGAATTTTAAATTAAAAATTTCATGTGGTCTTGGCGAATGTATATATATATATATATATATATATATATATATATATTTTTTTTTTTTAAAGAGAGAGAGAGAGAGAGAGAGAGAGAGAGAGAGAGAGAGAGAATTTTAATATTTATTTTTTAGTTTTCGGAGGACACAACATCTTTGTTTGTATGTGGTGCTGAGGATGGAACCCGGGCTGCACACATGCCAGGCGAGCGCACTACTGCTTGAGCCACATCCCCAGCCCCAATATATATTTTTATTTGTTGATCTGGGGTTCTGTGTCTTAACTCAACAAGCTTACATGTTAGATGTAGAAGTTTTTTGTTGATTCCTTGTGATTTCCTATGTAATCAATCATGTTTTCTGCAAAAAGGCAGTTTTTTCCTTCCTTTTTGGTCTATGTGCCATCTATTTTGTTTCTTGCCTTGTTGTAGTGGGTTGAACTTCTTGTACTATATTGTATGACAGTGGTGAGAGTGGACATTCTTGTCTTTTGCCTGACCTTAGGAAAGATTTCAGTCTTTATGATGTTAACTGTAGGTTATTATGATAAGCTATGCTTGCATCACTTATTACCTAGACCAACCACTTGGACTCCTTGTCTTATAAACAATTGCTTTTCCTCTTAATATTTATAGAAGCCTCTTTTTTTTCTATTGTCCTAAAATTATGTACACTGATATTGGCCTCTTTAATGTGCTGGAATATGAAGGGCTTATAAACTTTTATTAGGGAAATTATTAAATTATTAAAATAAATTATTTCTTGGTTGATTTTGTCTTCTGTTTTCTCTTTTTGGATCTCCTATTATCTGTATCTTTGTTCTTTTTAAGATTCTTGTGTAGGGATCACAATGCTCTTTTCCTCTCATTCATGTTTTTGTTCTCACTGTGAAGTTTTCCTTGACTTTTCCATTGATACTTGTTTAAGTTTTAGAATCAAATCTACCTCATATTTTATATTGTCAAGAGACTTTAATATTTAAGTATTTATTTTTCATTGTATTCTTGTATTGTTCCATGCCTGCTATATCTCCTTTTATGTCATGGAAATTATTAATAATAATATTTTTATTTTTTTGTTATTTTCTTCCTATTGATACACTTTTTAGATGACTGTTAATCTTGGTTGTCTGGATATGATTGACAGTGCCAAATCAAAAGCTAATGGAAAGCTCTGTGTATGTGTTTGTCAACTTTCAACTTTATTGTGGGGTGCTTTGGTTGTGATGTTTGTTAGAGTCCTCTGATGGGGAATATATTTTTTGGTTTTTCCTCCTAGACTTGCTTGATTTCCCAAAGAAGATTCATAAGCTCCTGCCTAAAAGATAAAGTTCAGATGCTGGAAGCATAATGGGAGGGGAGACATGGATGGTAGGCAAGGACTGGTTCTGTACTAAGAATTAATGTTGTCACTTAATACTCTTGGTTTTTTGTTTTATATTCACCTGTACTCAGGGTACTGCTGTCTTACTAAGAATAGCCTTTCACTCTTCTGCTGGGAATAGGCAGGGTGAGTTGTCTAAGAGAGTAAAGGTCTTAAGTGTAAGTCTTTTTCAAATAGCCAATAACAAACCAGCCTTCCTTATTTTAGCTTCGTCCCCTTTCACACCCAATCCAAGTGTGTCTGCTGTTATCACTTATTGTGCCTTTTAAAGATTTAAAGGTTTAGAGTAGTTTGAATCTCAGGGCTTTTTTTCCCCATCACCACATCCCTGCAGTTTACTTAGGGCTGCTAAATTTGTCATCTTTTTTTGGTCTATTTTCAAAATTAATTGGGGGTTATTATATATTTTTAAACCCTATTTAATTCAATGTTGTTTTCTTAGATTATTTTAAAGGGATAGCTGGGCGTATTGGTACCCAGGAGGCTGAGGCAGGAGTATAACAAGTTCAAGGCCAGTCTCAGCAACTTATTGAGACCCTATCTTAAAGTCAAAAAAATTTTTAAAAGGGCTGGGGTGTTATTCAGAGGTAAGGTACCCTGCGTTTAATCTTCAGTGCTGAGGAGGTGGTAGGAAGTGCATAAAGGGATAAAGTGAAATGCATGTCTTCAGCTTGCCAGATTAACTCCAGATTTGAAATAAGCACTAATTTGTCTCTTCTGGTATATGTCTCTTTATTAAAAAAAAAGATTAACTATTTTGGGGATAATTTATATACTCACATGGTTTGAAAATTAAGAGGCATAAAATGTTTCTATTTCCTCCATCTCTCATTTTTTCATTCCCCCCCCATGGACAAATAATAATTATGATTTTTTATGTGTCCTTAAAGAGTCTGTATATAGGTGTGATTGTTTGTATGTATAATATATATAATTTATGTATATTTTTGCATATACAGTTAATCTTGTTTTGTCTGCTGTATACAAGGTTGTATTTTATTCTGTCTCTTCATATTGTTGTGTGTATTACCTTTTCTGCTTTGTATCTTCTGTCTCATTCCATGTTTCTATTAACTACTTTATTCTTATTTATATTTTTATAGTACTGGGGATAGAAAGCACTAGTGCTCTACCTTTAATTTACATCCTTATCCCTTTTTGTTTTATTTTGAGATAGGGTCTCACTTAGTTGCCCATTCTGGCCTTGAACTTGTCATTCCCTGTGTCAACCTCCTGAATAGGTGGGATTACATGCATGCACCACTTCACCTCGGAGGGCATTTCATTCTTTTTTGCAGATATAGGAAATATTCCATTATACACTTGACATTTTCCTGTCATTTGCTAATTATGCTGTAGTGAGTAAACTTTTATAAAAGTTATTTCTCTCATGTCAAAGTATACGTGTAGGGTAAAGACTTAGCAGTGATATTTTTGCTTTAAAGGGTATTTGAATAATAATTTTGATTAATATAGTGAGAGAATTTGATCAAACTTTTGGATTTTCCAATAAGCTCTTAGGTAAATGTCAGTGTATGTCAATGTAGCTAAATTAAAAAATTTTTTGGTAGTTGTAGATGGACAGAATGCCTTTATTTTATTTTATTTTATTTTAATTTTTATGAGGTGCTGAGGAGTGAACCCAGTGCCTCATGAATGCTAGGCATGCGCTCTGCCACTGAGCTATAGCCCCAGCCCCGTAAACTAAAATTTTAATTGGAAAATTTCTTAATTATTCAAAATGTAATGACTTGTGAAGCTCATCTTTGTATGGCTAACCCTCTTTCATTATCATCTATTCCCCCTTCCTCCACATTATTTTGATTTACATCCCAGAAAACACATCAGTTTATTGGTTCATATTTTATTTTTTATTTTGAAAAGTAAAGAATATTCAAGTATAACTATAATATTATAGGGGAGTAAACATTTCTCCTCTGTCTTCTCAGGGTCTCTGACTGAATATGAGTATGAGAATTAAAATAGATGAATAGGATGAAAGAATGCAAATTTTATTTAAAACTTTTATATGTGCAATAGACTTCTCACAGGAAGATGAAGACCTAAAGAAGTGACTACGCCTGGGTGCTTATATACTAGGTTGAGCAAAGAGTGACATTTGTGGAAGAGTATCTGGAAAGATAAGGATTAGTTTAATAAATTTTTAAATGGATTTTCCTTATCCTGACTCTTGATATTTGGTGATGAGAATATTGCCCTCTTCCTGGCATGGGGAGGGCATCTTTCACATAGAAAGGGAAGATCAGAGTGTCCTTTCTTCTGTTTTTCATGTGCCTTTAGCTTAAAATATTCAATATTTTAAAGCACCATATTATAGTGTGGCATGTCCTAAACTTTTTTAGCACCATTATCATTATAGTTTTAAGGAATTTCTCTTACGTGTGAGGTTGAAAATCTTTTTCAGGGCTGGGTATGTGGCTCAAGTGGTAGCACGCTCGCCTGGCATGCGTGAGCACTGGGTTCGATCCTCAGCACTACATAAAAAAATAAAGATAAAAAAATTAAAAAAAAAAAAGAAAATCTTTTTCATAAGGTTCAAAGCCACTTGTATTTCCTGGCTTTATTTTTTCTGTTTATTGCTTGTATATCAGTTTTTTATCCAGTAATATTATTGAGTTCATTTATTATTATGTAGACTAGGAATTCTTGTATAGCATTGGATGGGACCAGCAACACCGAATATTTTTGTGTCATTGCTAATTTGAATGGGACTATTCTGAACCATCACCTATGATGCTTGCTGTAGATTATTTTGAATAATCAGAATTGGGTTTTCTATTGTTCTTATGATTAGGTGTAGGATTTAATTAATCTTTCTTCACTTGCTGAAATGTCAATATGATGAATTATATTAGTACTTTTTTTTTGTGTGTGTATGCTAAGAATTGAACCAGAGCCTTGCATAGGCGAGGCGTATACTTTGTTTCTGAGCTACACCCCTGGACCTTGTGTAAATGTTTTAAAGCATGAAATAATGAGAATTAACTAGAACACTTCTCAAAATTAACATTTTGTTTTTATACTCCCTTACAGGTGGTCAAAAATGTGATAACTTTGCAGAAAAAAGACCCCTTCTTGGTGTGTGTAAGAGCATTGGATCTTCCGGGTAAGGAAATTTTTAAAAATAAATTGAATCAGCTACTACAAATTTGTTTGTTTATTCCAGAATGGAACCTCTGATGTCTTAAAAATCTTCAAAATCATAAGACTAAGCTCCCATAAGAGAAAAGAGAAAGGAAGTAAAACATATTTAGGGTTTTGTGATATAGCCACTGAATTCTTTATTTCCCTGCTCAGTATTTTTTCACGTATAGAGTGATAGCAGGAGGCAAAAGAAAACCAGTCATAAATAAGAATATAGTCTTTAAATAAAAGATTGCCATTATTGAAAAAAATTTTAAATTTATGTGTTTCTGTATAGTCATTGTTATGAATGTCTTTATACAATAGATTTGATGTTATTATTAGCTAATAATAATGTCATTTTTATGATAGAATAAAAATTATTAACTGTAACTAACATTTATTGGTGCAGTAACATGTGCCTGAGTCAGCTCTAAAGACAGCATAAATTTGTCTTTATTCCTATTGCAGAACTGTGAAAAAGTGCCATTCTGTTCTTCTTTCATAGTGCAGCATAAGTAAGGCACTGGATTCACACAATTAACCTGTGGATTCAAATCTAAGCAGCCATGTGCTTAATTTAATGCAGGCTGCATTTGTAATAGTAATAGGGCTGTGGACTAAGAGGACAAATTGTTATTTATTTTGAAGTCAGTTTCTTTATTTCCTCCTTATGTAAAATGGGAATAATAATCTTTCCTGTGATTTATATTGAATTAGCCATCCTTTTGTTATTGATTTTTTTTCTATATAATTCCAATTAGAAATTACGTTTAGCCACTAGTAAAGTTACAGTGACCTACACACTTTCTGTAGTTAAAAGTCTACTGATAATGGGGTGTGGCTCAGTGGCAGAGCACTTGCCCAGCATGTATGAGGCACTGGGTGTGACCCTCAACACCACATAAAAATAAATAAATAAATAAATAAAATATTGTGTTTATCTACAACTAAATATATATATTAAAAAAAGAAGTCTACTGATAGGCAGTTCCGATACAGTGAAATGTTTTGATGATGTCATTAGTGATCTAGGTTCTTTTCTAGCTTTGACATTCTTTTAATGTGACTCCTTTTCCTAATGATCTCAAATGGCCACTGTCTTTTCAGTTACTGCATTTTCTTCAACTGAACTCAGCTGTAAAAAAGTTGGAAAGTCATTATGGTTTTATTAGTAAGAAGATGATAAAAATGGATATTAGATTGGCAACTGGAAATCTATGACAAATGCTTTTAACTCAGTCTATGTAGATCATGGGGCTTTGGAAAAGGCACGAATATTTTAATGATATAACATGTTTTGATCATGGAGTCTTTGTTGTTGCTTCATAAGGATGTATTTTAACTTCATGTACTACTAGACAAATTTCTTCAGTGCAAATTTTGGGTATGAGTAGGCCTTTGGAAATTTATTGTGTACCAAAGTACTCTGCCAGATATGGGATGAGAAAACCAAAGCTTGAAAACCTAATTTCCTTCCCCAAAGATGTAAGGATGTGACTGAAAAGAAAGAGTACAACTTGTGAAAAATAATTATGAAATTATGATGCATACGAGATTCAAAGAAGGGAGAGGTAAATATGTATGGAGTTATGGCAGAAGGCCTAATGGAGAAGTGACACTGGCTGGATCTTAATGAATGGGAAGTATTGCGATAGATACAGAAGAGTAAGAAGGGCATCCAAAGTAGGTTATAAAATGATCATGGAACAGAAATGGTCATGGAGCAAATAGACTTAAGAATGATGAAAGTTTATGAATTAGAGGTAAGGTCATCTACACAGGTAAAAATATATATGCCCATGCCCTGGTACTCAACAAAGGCATACAAGAATCTGAAAATGTTTAGGTTTCAGCAGTTGCTGAACTCTGCACAATAACAGTGGTAATCTGTGGCATTCATGCCTGCAGCTTCCATCCCATTCTTAAGTTATCCCCCTTTCAGGCGTGGTAGATATGGAGGCTATTCCAGAGTGAGGAAGGTTGTGCAGACCAGCCCAGTACTGCCTTACTGTGGTTGAAAGATGCTCACTCAACTTGAAATGTCAGGTGTTGCCCATGTCTACCAACAGTGTTGATGGAGGTTACTATCTTGAGGGCATGTTTATCTCGAGGACCAGTGACTTTTTCAGCTTCAGTCATTAGCTCAGGATTCATGAATGTATAAAGGAGCCATAAAAGGCACAGGGAAAAAAATCTGGGTAGACTTGAACATGGATGAATGTGCAGATGCTTTGGCAAAGGCATCTCATCATTGGCTGACTCTGAAGATACATAGGGAGAAGGACAATTCCCTGACACCAGCCTGTCTCTTAAAGCAAGAATAAAAAGAATCAATAAAACTGAGTAGAGATATCATTAACTGCGCATTGTAGAGGAAGACATTTCATAGGATACAGGATTAGTGTACCCTATCATGTAAAATGCCTACTTTTAAATATAAAATTATAACACATGCTAAAAGAAACAAATAGTGTGGCATAATGGGGGAAAAAAGACAGGCAATGGAAATAGTCCTCTGACTCTCTCCTGATGTTAAATATTGGAGACAAAAATTTTAAAGCAGCTTCTACAAATATATTGTAAAAACTAAATGAACTGTGTTTAAAGAATTAAAGGAAAGTATAATGATAAATAATTCAAAACATCTCAAAAAGGAGTAAGGAATGTGAAAGAGTAAATTAACTAAGGAACTCAGCACCATGTTCAAAACAGCACAAAAAAGATGAGGGGGCTGATAAGTTTACAAGGGAGCTGAGAGAATGGAAGCCACAGATAATGGGGAAGCTATGATGGGGAAGTCAGAATTTGTTGTTACCTGCAGAAGAGTGAAAGCTCCACAAAAAGAAGTGTTTTTGAACCTGGATGGCACAGGAGGAAAGGGAAACCTTAAAAAGTTCCAACTTTTGTGTTAAGTTACTAATGGTTATATTAATTAGAAGTAGAAGGAGATTGCTTGGGAGAATTGGAATATGACTTTTCTTTTTGTCATGATATACCTCAGAGCCCTTATACAAAATCCTGGCATTTTCAATTTTGACTGATTTTTACCTTTTTTTTTTGGTAGTGCTGGGGATTGAATCCAAGGCCTTGTGCTTGCAAAGCAAGCACTCTACCAATTGAGCTATATCTGATAGCTGATGGAATCATAGTTTAGACCAATACTATTTATGCAGGCACCAAAATAAGGCCTATACCATTCTTCCAGTTTTTGCTGCTAATAGATAAGGGCTTTTCCAATGGTTTCTTGGCATCAAATTCAAGCACCAAGTCTTTCATTTCCCTTCCCTCTTGTGTTTTTTTTTTTTTTTTAAGAATTTTTTGTAGGTACTTTGGCTTTTCTTCAATCACTGCGTCTTGGCTTTGTGGTTCTTTTTATTGCCCAAAGAATGGGTTTGTAAACCAGATGCCAAGATGCATGCCTGTAATCTCAGCTAGTTGGGAGGCTGAGGCAGGAGGATTGTGAGTTTCAGACACAGTCTCAAGAATTAAGGGCTTAGGAGTATAGAGCAGCCATGGGTTCATTCCCAGCATTGCAATCAATCAATCGATTACTGAACCACTTGGTATCCTATAACATGGATGATTTGTGGGCCTTTGGATTTTGGTACTGTTCAAATGTTCTTAATCTGAAACTTGTTAAGTGCTACTTTTATGCTCAAAAATTTTAAAATTTTGAAGCATTTCAGATTTTGGATTTTTGCATTAGGGGTATCCAACTGGTAAAGTCTATGCAAATATTTCAAAATATGAAAAATGCTAAATCTGAAGCATTTTTAGTCCCAAGAATTCTGGACAAGAGATAGTCACCCTGTGCTGGTAGTGATGGTGTATGCCTATAATCCCAGCGGTTTGGGAGGCAGAAGCAGGAGGATTGTGAGTTTAAAGCCAGACTCAGCATTTTAGAGAGGCACTAGGCTGGGGATGTGGCTCAGTGGTTAAGTGCCCCAGAGTTCAATCCCTGATACAAAACCAACCAAACAAGAAGAGATACATACCCTGTATAATCTTAGACCTATCAAGGCTTCAATGCAAGATAAATATGATTCCTGTTCATCTGATTATGGATGTAGGGAAATCTTATGGAAATAAGTTGATAATACTATTATTTACTAATTACATTTTCTCATGTGGCTGAGGGATATTCTTCATTTATCTGGAAATGTTAGTATTCTCTTTTATAAATCAGAGTTACTAGCATAAATGTATGAATGCAGCATTTATTTTGACCCTTGTTCACTTTTAATACTTATGGCAAATTTTTAGTTTTTATATGGGGGTAATGCGGGGAGCCAGAGCATTACTCACTTAATTTATAGTTAATACAGCTTTAAAATATACAGTGGACAAATCTAAGTAGAGGTAAGAGTGGTCTATTTGTATAAATTGATAAATATTATGTAATATTATAACTATGGGAAAGTTGTTTATGTATTTATTTATTTAAAAATATAGCTTTGGAACTATGGACACACCCAAGTAGTGTACTCAGTCTACTGAAATGATTATATGCTGGTGACCAAACAAAGGACTTTATTTTTTAAACAGTTGTCTTACTTGCATGTGATATATGCATTCCTGAAAATATGTGCAGAATTCAGATAATGTCCTCAAATTGTGTATTTTGAGAATTTAAATGAAAAGAAATAAATGGGAGATGAAATTCTATATCATTTGTAAGTAAGAGGAGAGTTGTTATCAGAACATCAGTGAGAACCATCTGAAGGGTATTATTAGCAGGAACTGTGGCCTGTGGTTGAAGGGTTCAGCTAACCTGTAGTAACCTGACAGCAGGGCAGCCAGGGTTGTTCCAAACATATTCTCATTTCTCTACATGTCTTCTACAAAGTAAACACAGCTAGAAGCCAGAGGGCTGGACTCTGAAGATGCAGAGACCAATGATGCAATTCATATGATGAAGTTTATACAACCTGGTACTCAGGACAGTATTCCAATATAAAATTAGAACATTAAAGAGAAGTG